AACTATGAGTCCACTGAGTATAAATAAAATACAGTACAAATAGGCCAGTTCAGGTGCACTGATGATTGGTGCCAACACCAGGACAATGGAGACCAGAGTCACTATGACAGGAATGATGATGGGCACCTGCAAGGCACAGAACACACAGTCACTTCTCCACTCTCTTGCTGGTCTGACAGAAGTTGCCTGCAGGAAAGAATATTTGGATTGCCTCATGCATTTTTTTTTTCCCTTTTAAAATGTCTGGAATCAGATGGGGCAATTGAAAGAGTAGCGAGAATATGGATGGAGAAAACTCTTCTGCTAAATCATTGGCTGAGATCTCTTTGTCAGTATTGCCAATTGCAGTGTAAAAATTTGCATTTTAATGAATCTGGGACCAAACTCCAGTGGAATGACCTGAGCTCTTATCTGGGATACTCTTGCAGTGTAGTCTGCAGACTGCAGGTTCCCATTCCTGGAAATTTGGCTTGTGCCCTGTGGTTTGTGCAAGTGAAAATCAACATCATGCACTCCTTTCTCAGCTCTCATGAGCTTTTTCCTAGTGCATAACTACAAATAAATGGCTCCGTTTCAGGTGAGGGGATAAAAAAAACAAGGAGTCTGCCCAAGGATGCTGTTTAAATATCCAGATGATTAGGATGAGTTCATCTACAGCGTTTATAGGAGTGGAGGAAAAGCCACGTGGAATGATGAACTTACCCTGATAGGCCTTTCAAGCTCCTTCCTTGTAAACCTCATAACAATGAGTGCAAATACGGTTAAACCATAAAATATCCAGACTGCGAAACTGAAATAATTTATGAGCGTCTCAATGTCACCGGGAATGATATAAATAATAGCAATGGCCCCCTAAAAATGAAAACAAAAATTAATGTAGTCTATTACAGAACAAGGCTGAATTTTACTAATGTGTCACTACAGGTGCTTAGTGTTCCAAAGGGTGAACTGTGAATGCTTTTGCTCAACCATTGGAGTGTGAGTGTGTTGCAGCACCTTTAAAGGCTGTGAGCACATCCTGCCAGCACGGGGTTGCTTTTGTGTGCAATCTTATTCCATTTTAAGTCAAAAGACTAATAATTTCTGTGCATTAATCTGTTTTATTGTTGACTCCTTATCTTGAAGATACAAAATGTGGTTTTAGGTTTTTAATGTTCCTGGGGTTGAATGTATCTTGTTATTTTATCTGAAGATAAAATAAAAAAAACTCAAGATGCTCTAGATTTATTTTAAAACATATTTACAGACTGAAATTTTTTTTAGTGAGATGTAAGTGTATTCTTACATGGAGGAAACAGGGTAGTGAGAGCTTGCTTTCGAGCATCCTGTGAAAGGATTGCCTTATACTAATCATCCATTTAACTTTTTGTTTTCATGCTGTTGATTCTTAAACATTTTGATTTTTAAAATCCAGTTCTGGAATGAATATATTCAAATGGAGAAGCTGGGGGGTGGTTATATAGTCTTTTTTCCAATTTTCTTGCCTGGATAGTCACAGATGTGTGTCATGACTGCTTGTGAGAAAATGTATTGCTGGAGAATTTTTGTTGGTAGTTTCTCTGTACTCAGAATTTATACTTACATAAAATATGATGGCAGGGGCTGGTGTTAAACGTTTAACACTGATGTAAGACAACACCTTCAGCATGTGCCCCTCCCGGCCTGCAACATAAACAAGTCTAACAAAAGAAAAACAAGGAGGGGTCGTTAGTGTGGCACCCAGATTTTAAATGGCATTACTGAAAAACAGATGAGTACCATTCATTTTCGGGTTTGTTTTATTGTGTGGCTACGATCTGATTATAATTTGGTCAGTATTTTCTTTTTAAATAGTTTTGCAGTGGATTGAAATAAGGGAAATGGCCAGTATTAAAGCAGTGAGCTAGAAACTGATTCTTAACCAGTGTTAAAATAATAAATTTGAAACTAATTTCAGAATCATTAGTTTGCACATTTAATAGAAGATTATTTTGGGGAAATGTAGCCTACTGTGTCCCTTTTAATTAACTAATTCCTTTTTCATTTGCTACCTTGACAACTTTTTGTCACCAAATGGTTTTTACAGCCCTATTGCATTCAGTTGGGTTTGAAATTTTAAAATATTTGAAATAGTAAATGGAAGCATTAAACAACTGATAGAAAGGAATAGCTTCTCTTTCCAGTTTCCTTTACCTTTACTGGTGCAGTCATGTTCTTACTGGTAATTTTTAACTGTTTAATTCTCAGCTTTAAAATTGATGAGAGGTGACAAAAACCTTCCGTACTATACCTGCTTTGAATTAAGAATGTGACCTTATTTTCTAATTTGTCAAACCTGAATAGCCACTGTTTCTTTTTAAAAACTAAACAATATAGGTAGATTTACAGGTACTTTTAAATTACATTTTGTATAATGTGGATGGGAAGAATGTCTTTATGTGTATGAGTACATAAATGTGAGTATAATTTTTTCCATCCTTCAAAAACTGTCCCTTGAAGATAAATAGAATAGGAACTTACCTGCCTGCAGTAAAACAGGTCCCATTGGCAGATCCAATTGTAGAAAATGCCACAAAGAGAGGAACTATCCACGAGGCTGGATAAAGGACTCTGTCTCCAAATGTCTGGGATATGGGATTAAAATGAGCCATTTTTGTCATTATAACAACTTATACTGAGGTATATTTTATTTTTTTATATATATATAGTGTGTGTGTGTATATATATAGTGTATATATATGTATAGTGTGTATATATATTTATATATAAAATATATATACTTGATATATGGTTTACTATATATGTGGTTTACTATATATATGTGAGCCATTAAAATTATTAAAATGAGCCGTTTTTGTCATTTTAACAACTTATACTGAGGTATATTTTATTTTTATATATATAGTGTATATATATATATAAAATTTATATATACTTGATATGTGGTTTACTATATATGTGGTTTACTATATATATAAATGAGCCATTAAAATTATTAAAATGAGCCCTTTTTGTCATTTTAACAACTTATACTGAGGTATATTTTATTTTTATATATATAGTGTATATATATAGTGTATATATATATAAAATATATATATACTTGATATATGGTTTACTATATATGTGGTTTACTATATATATGTGAGCCATTAAAATTATTAAAATGAGCCGTTTTTGTCATTTTAACAACTTATACTGAGGTATATTTTATTTTTATATATATAGTGTATATATATAGTGTATATATATATAAAATATATATATACTTGATATATGGTTTACTATATATGTGGTTTACTATATATATAAATGAGCCATTAAAATTATTAAAATGAGCCATTTTTGTCATTTTAACAACTTATACTGAGGTATATTTTATTTTTATATATATAGTGTGTATATATATATAAAAATATATATATACTTGATATATGGTTTACTATATATATGGTTTACTATATATATACCTATACTTTAGGTATATTCAGTAATGCTGGATCCTCTTTGTAAGTGAAGTAAATGGGTATCTGAGACATTCTACCAATAAAAACAGGTTGTACATTTTGTGTAGTTACTAAAGAATGCTTTGCCAAATGAAGACCTGGATTAATTCATGGACCACTCTATAAAATGGAGTGGAGTGCTGTTGTTATGGTGTTTAAGATGCAGCACCTGCAGGAAACACTGGAAGACAGATGTAGAAAGTGTACAGGAATGAAATGCTGTTAGAGACACCTGCTTTGGGATGTGTCTGCCAAAAAACAAAAAAGGAAGATGGCATTGCTGCAGAGCACTGTCCATCCAACAAGCTGCTCTCAGCCTCTCTAGAGGGAGTGACAGCAGCAGTGACAGCCCGAGCCTGGGGGGGAGCAGCGAGGGACAAACTCCCTGTGGTCCTTCACTGCATCGAGTTCTCACCTGTGCCGTGGATGGGAGTTGTGGCTGCAGGATAGATTAGATCTCATGTAGGCACGTTCCCCTACTGCAAATTAATTTGAATTTAAATGGTTTTGACAGGAAGCTTTTGAGTTTTTAGGTGGGGGGTGGTTAACTTTTTTTTTTTTAGTTTAGTAAGTCAGGCATAAAAAGAGCTTTGTTTTTGCACAGCTCTGACATCGGTGCTGTTTCAAAGGGTTCTTACAGCTGTAGAGACCTCTCTGTCCTTTTGCTCAGTGCCAGGTCTGAGATACTGTCAATTTAATCTGATGAGTTCAATGCTAGATGTTTTGTTCAGTTTGTAAATTTAATGGTGTGCTGAAGAGGACTGGTTCTTAAACAAGATATTTGATATGTACATTGCTGTACCTCGTGATACAAACAAGATACTGGAGATCTGAATTTGAAAAGCTTTCATTTTTAAACATTTCTAAGTATTTCAACATCAGTGTACTTCACTCTGCCATGCTGTATTTTGCATGCTTGTCACATACTGTTTGTTTTCCCCAAAAACTAACATCATGAAAAATTGCTGCATGACCTCAACAGCTGCTTCAGAGACAGGTGTCCCATGGAAAATTTACTGAGTGGAACTGAGGGGACAGCTGTATTTTTTTAAGACTTCAGAAATCTATGTCATCTTTAATTTTATCTATAATAGTATGTCTTGCAATAGTGTAAAAATTGTATCTTTCAGATTTGTTAAGGGGGGAAAAAAAAACAACAAAAAAACACCAACAACAAAAAGAATAAGGTGAAAGTGAATTATGGACTATTTGCTGTTATCTCCAGAACAACAAACTTTGATCTACTGTCATTTGGCATGTGCTTCTTTCTCAGAAATACTGAAAATGCTGAAAAGGGCAAAGCAACTGTCAGATGTTGTTTCTCTTTCCATTCTTTGATGCCTGTGGAAAGCCCTCTGAGCTGCACTGTTTACAAAACCTTAGCTGAACACTCCATTATTTTGCTCCCTTTTTTTTTTCTTTTTCCCATTGGGATATGACAGAACTACTGTTGAAATTAAGCATTACTGAAATCTTAGAGTAAGAAATGACAGTAGATAATGGGGGGAGGAGGTGACACTGATAGCTCAGACTGAAATGAAGTGAATTAAGAAGAATTCCAGGTTCCTGAGGAGGAACTCCATGATCTGTGTGTATTTTGGGATGCACAACAGCCCTGTTGAGATGCTCTATTCCAAAATAAAGTGGCTTACCACAGCAACTGCCTGGGACTGCAGGAGTTCTGTCGAAGTCATGACGGTGAAATAGGAAACGTTGATCAGAACGTAACAAACTGTAACCAAGGGGATCCCAATGATTATAGAGAGCGGGAGATTTCTGAAGAATGCAAAAGTAAGACCCCATCAGCATTGCTGCATCATTTCTAGAGCTGTCACAGTAAACTGTGGACTCTTACACTGCCATATATGCTCTTTAGTTGTATTTACATTTATTTTTTTTTTTTACTGCAGAGCTATGGAAATCAGGATTATAAAAATATAAATTTATGCAGAAACACAAAGCACGTAATACATGCAAATTAGCTTTGTTTGTCAGTGCTCAAACCTTGAATAACTGCTGCTTTTTAAAAAAAACAACCCAAAATATATGCTTGCTTGTAGAAAAATATTAAGTGTTTGAATTTTGCCAACAGAAACAGTGCTCTCCTACCTGTAAGGATTTTGAAGTTCTTCTGTTATGTAATTGAGTTGATTCCTGGAAGGAAAAAGATTCATATTTTAGCAATCTGTTGTTTAAATACTTTTATACTCTGAGGTCAGGTGTTAATTTATGTTATTGCTTTTTACCTTTTCAGTTAAAAAAAATCCCAAACCACTATAACCAATCTTTTTAAGTGGGAAAACCGCAGGACAAAACCTATGTGAGCTTCTCATCCAAATGGCAGCCTCTTGATTCACCATGTCTGTCCCCATTATCTCTGAGATTTTGAGATATTGGATAAAATATCCCTGAATAATGACAGGAAAATTTGGCAGAAATCTCAGATTTACAAGGTTAACTTCAAGCTTTGCAGTACCTGAGTCTTTTCAAATAAAAGCATAAAGGTGCTGAGGGCAAGGGGTGAAGCAAATCTGCTGATGTTTCATCATCCTGTCTTTAGAAAACTGGCTCTAAGGAAAACCTCTTTAAGGATCACACCTATCTGAATTTTAATTTCCAAATAATCATTTTTGCCACAGCATGTAGACCAGATTGAAACAAAATTTTTACTTCTCCACTCTAAAAATGTGAAGAGACAGTTTTTACAGCTCAAAAGGCAATTTTTCAAATGTTAGTGCCTGGTGTTACATATGCAAATCATTATTTAGGCACCAGCTTCTTTGTCCCCTTAAAACGTCCACATGAGTATTGGAATTAGCAAACTTAGTTGGGACACTCAAGCTTGGAAATAGAAACTGAAAGAGTAACCTATTTAAAAATAAATTCAGTTTTAAAAGCTTTTAAGTGGGACTTGTTTTGGTGTAAGTCAATATCTATCTATCTATATATACAAAGTCAATAGTATAATATATATTAAAATATATATTATATATGTAAGATATATATTTTTATATATATATATATTCCTTCCATACTACAGACCTATATGCAGAGTTTTGCAGTTTGAACAGTTAAGAATAGCATTAATGGATTTGTGCCAACAGAGCCCTGGGCCAACTGACATTCCCTAAGAAAAGATCTGCAAGTTGAGCCTTATGACTTCTGATACAATGTTCTTTTCTATGTGCTCTTGTACTAATCAAACACCACCACATATTTCCCAAGAAATGGAATTTGATGGGGTAACCTGTATTTTGCCTGAGACAATGGAACTAAATTGGGTTATATTTCCCTCATTAGTAAAATATGATGTATTTTACTTTCAGGACCTAGAATAAGTTCTTTCCCTAATAAACAACTAATAAAGGGGGTGGAGGTTTTGAGGGTTTTTAACCAATGCTGTTGTTTTTCCAAAATTCATCGTGAGCTTCTTAATTACAAGTCAGATGTTAACTTTTCCAGAGTTCAACGGGGAGAGAGTGAACTGGTTAAAGGCTGGTAAATTGTAACTGTAAAGGCTAGTAAAGATTCCTTACCATCCATCATATGCCCAGAGTCCATTGTAAAATGCCAGACTGATAGAGCTGACAGAAATTTTACTATCCTTGAAAGAATCTTTGAAGTTTTCAGTTTTTCCTGCAAATAAGAGGTAGATTACGGGTCAGTGTTGAAACTAATTCTTGTAATCCCCGTCAGATGAAGAAATATTCCATTATCTTTCTTGTGTTTTTAAACTTCTCACTGTTAGAATCAATTTATACCTTTTGGTATTAATTGATCTGTAGTGTTGCATTTCCCACCCAACCCCCTTCTCTAAAAGAAATTACCAAGAGATACAGAACTAAAACCCTGAATAAAGAGATTCGGGGCTGTGCCTTATTACTGTGCCTCTTCCACTAGTGGGGAATTTATTAATGCTCACATCAGAAGCTAAATTAATTTTTTCAAGGAATGTATATTTGATTACCTTGTGCAAGGAGAACAATGCCACTTACAATAATGATTGTGACAATGATCATTTTAGCAGCCGTGAGAAAATTCTGGAGGTAACTTCCCACCTTCACACTCAGCGAATTCACAGTTGTAATTACCACTAAAAGAAATAAAATGAGGATTTTTTGCATTAAATTTGTCAGAATTGAAAGGAAGGTTGCCTCTTTAATCCTAAACACACCCCCCTCCTTAAATACTGTACTGCTTTTTCCTCACACTGACTATATTATATAGAGTTTTTAACATACTGTGTTTGGATAACTTGTAAAATAGTGAGGAAAAACACTTTTCTGAATTAGATTTTGAGAGTGCCCTTAACAAAAAAATACACTGAAGCTGCACAGCATTCTGATAAGTACAGAAATAGCTTATTATTTCTTCCTTTTCTGCCAGAGATAAGCATTCATTATACAGCTGTATCTATCTTTTAAAAAGAATAAAAGAACCTTGTCCTGGGAGCAAACCATTTTTAAACCTCCCCTTTTTATATGTTGTTGAATTAGTTATTAGGGGAAGGACTCACTATACTGTGCCTTAAAGATTTCTGGTGTCTCTGTGAAGGTGAAGCTCAGGAAGTCTCAGGGTGCTGATGGGGCCAAACCCAAGTCATTGTGCAATTTTGGGTCTGATATGTCTTTAAAAGACATTTCATACTAAGACCTTAAACCATCTTGTCCAGGAGCTGCTTTACGCTGATGACGCTGCCCTTGTTGCCCACACAGAAGCAGCTCTGCAGCGTTTAACATCCTGCTTTGCAGATGCTGCTGAGCTCTTTGGGCTGGAAGTCAGCTTAAAGAAGACAGAAGTTCTCCATCAACCTGCACCTCAGGAAGTCCCCCATCATCCCCACATCACCATTGGCAAATCAGAGCTCAAATCAGTCCAGCAGTTTAATTACCTGGGCAGCCTCATCTCCTCGGATGGTGAGATTGACGGGGAGATGGACAACAGGTTAGCGAAGGCATATAGTGCCTTCAGAAAGCTTCATAAAAGAGTTTGGCAAAATAAACACTTGAAGAAAAGTACCAAGATCAGTGTTTCCAGAGCCATAGTGCTGTCTACTCTCTTATATGGTTCCGAATCATGGGTCATCTACTGCCACCACCTGCGACTTCTAGAACGCTTCCATCAACGCTGCCTCCGTACAATCCTAAACATCCACTGGGCAGATTATGTGACCAATACATCTGTTCTTGAACAGGCAGCAATCACAAGTATTGAGGCCATGTTGTGAGAACACAGCTGTGCTGGGCAGGGCACGTCTCCAGGATGAAGGACCAACCACCACCTCCCTAAGATCCTGCTTTATGGTGAACTTGCCAATGGCTGCTGCAAGAGAGGAGCCCCAAAGAGGAGATACAAGGACTCCCTGAAACAACATCTCAGCCTTGGCCACATTGACCAACAGAACTGGTCTACTCTGGCCTCCAATCGGGAGCTCTGGAGACACACCATCTATAACGCTGCTGATGTTTTGAGAAAGCACCAGGATCACTCTAGAGGAGAAAAGACAACACAGAAAGAATCGTGTCTTGCAGAATTTACCACCTAAGGAGTCTTTCTGCTGTGCCTTTTGCAACCGGTCGTGCCTGTCTTGTATTGGCCTTTTTAGCCACCAACGCACTTGTAACAAACATGGGTAGAGCCCTTCCCAAATCTTCCTTCGCGAAACCTGACCATGATGATGATGATGTCTTTAAAAAGTGGGACTCTTACCAATGGCTGCTGCTGCAAGACACTTGATGACAGCCCGGGGTGGATCACAGCCTGGGTAAAAAGGAGCTGAGGCATATTCTGCAAAGCTGAGACAGATGATGGCAAAGGAGCTGGGTTTGGTGACCACTAAACTCGTCCAGGAAAAGAGGAATGCTGGAATGGGGCCAAATGCCTCCATGAGGTAAGGATATTCTCCTCCAGATTTCGTGATCATCGTTCCGAGCTCCGCAAAGCAAAGGGCACCTGAGCAAGGAGAGGAGCAGGGTGAGGTCGTGCCCTTTTGAACCTGTGACTGCCTAGAACAGCTGATCACTTTTTAACAGGTAGAAAAGTTAAGGAAATTGATATCTACATCATTACTCTCTTCACGTTTCTGTATATTTTACTGTATATGCAAAAATTAAATTTTAATTACTTGCGAGCAATTGGAAAAAATACCCTGAAATTAATAAGATACAGTCCAAAAATTCCTACTGCTGGTGTTTAAGACTTGGCCAAAACCAGCACAAACATTCTCATTTCATATTAGATTTATGTTTAAGAAACCAACACTGGAAGAAGCATTTAAGTGAGAACTGCACTTGCTGACATTCCTTTTGGAAACCTGAAAAAAACAGACTTGCTGCACAATTTTGAAGCAACACGTCTGCTAAGCTCAACATTAAAGTACAGGGACACTTCCAGCTCTGTTGCTGTGTCTGGCATCTTGCATTAAGGTTTTTTTCTATGCTGTGTCCCCTGATACAGTGCTCAATGTTTTACTTCTTGAAATATTTGGAGGTGCTTAGTGCTAAATTTTCAGATAATAGAATTAGAATTACACAGGTAGAAAACCAGCAGAAGCACCCAGCTGACTGCCAGGAAATGTCACATTTTGCCAGTGATTTAAGTAGAAGAGTATTCTCTTTATTACAGTCAGTGGCTGCAGCCAGCAAAACTAAAAGTTGATTTCAAAATAAATTGAGAGTGTGATTTGCAATTTTAGAAACTTAATTTATCTTTTATAAACAGCACATTTTAAATTTATGGCCCAGTGCTGCTATGCATATATACATCAGTATTTCATTGATTTTAGCTAATTTGTGACATGAGAGCTGTCTGCAGAAGCAGTAGATATAAAGATTTAGGCAAAGATTCAGATTCTTTGTTGACTCCTTTACCTAATGTTGCCAGAACTCCACAGGCTGCCCAGATGGTTAAACAAGGACCCACAGCTTCAACATTGGCAAGGACTGATTTGGGAGAAACAAAGATCCCTGACCCAATAATTGTCCCGACAATCATACAGATCCCGCTGATGAGGCCCACCTGGAAATGAAATGAGACCTTTTCTGTGAGTCATTTCTAGTTCAGTATCATAGAACTACAGTCATTGTCATTACTGACTTATTTTTAGCAGTTTTTAACATATAAGTTCTAGAAAGAAATTTATTAAACTATTTTATGAAGTTTCACTCTTCTTTCCAAGATGCCCATGTGGCCCACCCCTGCTGTTTTCTAAAGTACACCTCTTTGGATTTTGCCTGCCTGTGTATTTCCTTTATTAAACTGTCTTTTGCATTGAGTCTCAAATCAAACCTTGTACAGGTGAACTTCCCCTTTCCTCTCTGATTAAACACTGAAATTCTTTTATGAGCACTTGTTGAATTCTGAATTTTCTAAGCTTCAGAAATTGTCTTTTATGGATGGAGTCCATTTTTTGTCGTTGAGCAGTTGTTCTCCTCTCCTTGCTTTAGGTATTTGTGCACAGGAATTATCTCCATACCCATAGGTGGTGATAAGATCATGTTCTGATTTTGTTAGTGACCTACATGTTACATGAAACCACTGAAATCTGAGGCATGTTCTGCTAAAACAAGTGCCACAGGCTACTTATTTTTTCCTGATATTATGGCTACTCTAATAACATCAGTATTTTTTCCAGTCTTGGCACCAAACTAAAACCACATAAAGAATCTTTTTGCAGGTTGCTTAAATTTAAAGAAGAATTCCACCCTCTCCTGAGAGCAAGTGACACAACTGTTGTCTAAAGCATCTCTAATTTTTTGGAGGAGACAGATTTTCACTTGTCTTTGAGTACCAGTGCCTATTTCTGAATGTTTCTTAGTATACACCAAGAAACGTTCAGAAACAATGAGCTGAACAACCCACTGCAACCCCTGAGAAATACACGTGGGGGAAAAAAAAAAAAGGAAGTTTAAGAAGTGCCTCAGTTGACCAAATTCGAATTGTTTTTCTATCTGATAACTTCAAAGACTTGAAAACATATTGTTAGTTTTCTCTTGGTTTATATCAGAGCTTTTTAACTACAGTAATTAGCAGTTTCTGGAAATGAAAAACAACCAGGTGAGATATTAGCACATCACTGCTAAACTGGGACATAGTTGTGGGTTTTGTGCACAAATACGCACTTCTGCCTCCCTCTGCCAGCCCCTCACACACGGACCAAAGGGGGAAAAGAAAAAGTTTTGCCTGTTTTTGTAGGTTCGTCGTTTGGGGTTCATGACTCTGAATGGATTGTGCGTCCCCTCTTCCTTTGTCCTCTCCTTTTCTTTTCCTCAAGCCTTCGTCACCCATTAGGTTTTTCTCGTTGAAATCTCTAAGGAAATAAAACCAAAATTCTCAACTCTAGCACATTGCTTGCTTGAGTTTTGCTGATATATGTGGGTCCAAAATACTGGAGGTAAAATATTGCCGGAAAATAAAAAAAAAAAAGCAAAAGCACACACTCAGAGGCAAAAGGACTCCCATCCAACGACCACTTGCTGTGGATTTTCCTCATACCCACCTGGCAGGGAATGTCTGTGTGGGGTTACATTCAGTTTCCAGGATATCCTCACTGGAATGATCTTGCTTTTATAGCCAGTCCTTCCTTGGAATTCCTCTAGTGGTCCAGTCAGATTTTATCTTTCTTCCAAAAGCTGGGCTGCTTCTTATCTAGGAGACCCTCTTTCTGATCTTCATTAAATTAGGCCTTGTCCCGGTTCCTTGGAGGTGCTTGGAGTATCTGCTAAACCAAGTGTGGGCTGCTGTAATTGCCTAATTAGCAGCTCTTTGCACTCAGTGTTTTGTCCTGTATAGAATTAGAATTAGAATTTGTCCTGTAATGTAATGTTTGTTAGAACGAATGTTTTCAAGTTTAAATTTGTGATTTTTTTTTCCGCTGAGGATTTTGCTTGTTTGTCCTTGTATTTGTCTAAAATACAACCTGAGATAGTGAAGGAAATGCATCAGGTCAGGTCCTGAGTCTCCAAAGTGGATTCAGTCAAAAGTCTCTTCTCTCCTAAGACACTACAACTGTAATTACTAGAATCTGAATGTTGAAGATCATTTTGCAGTTATCCAGACAGTAATTCAGAAAAGATTAGGCAACTTAAGCTGGAGTGGTTTTGGAAATAAAGTAGTAATTGGCTACAAAAGCTGTAGCATTTTAAATTGACAGAACACCTCTCTCAGTATTGTTGGTCCTCAGAAAAATTTGGGCTATAAAGACATCGAGTTTATGTTTTGAATTAAATATTAAAAAAAAAAATCTAACTTTAAGACTAAAGCTATGATAGAAAATTGCCCACATGAGGAATGCAGGGTTTGGGTCACTGATCTTCTTTACAACTTTGTGCCCAAATTCTCTCTTTAAAGTCATGTTTCAATGATCACCTTTAGCAATTCTTGGGTTTGCTTACCTTATTTATTTATATTTGTTTGGTGTTACTCAGGTCCAGGAATCTTTGTCTAGGATGTTTCTCCCATCAGATTTCCCAGGCAGTTTTACACAGCAAGGCACGTCCAAGTCTGAAACCAGAATCTGCAGAAAGCAGCAGCAGATTAAGTACAAAGGTTATAAAAGACAATCATTAAACCCATTCTCGACCAAAAAGCTTTGAGATAGGAACCCCAGGTAAACCGACAGCCCAATTAGTTTATCTTTAAAAAAAAGAAAAAACCATCTTTGTTCCGTTTTTGAGAATGTTTATCCAGTGCCTGGTGTGTCACAGAGTGAGAGTGAACCATCGTTTGGAGGGTCTATTTTGATGATCCTTATACCAAGCAGTTGCTAATTTAGAAATGCTTTGGAAAGGCAACCTTGAAGTAATTGTCCTTTTATGGGTGTATTAAAACCATCTGTCCAGATGTCGGTTGCATCCTATAAAAATAGTTGATGTTTTTATCTTGAGACAGTAGAGAGGTGTGAGCAGAAATGTTTTTCATTAACCTGAGGCAGCTGAGTGGGCACCTTGTGTTCCCTTTGCTTGCAGTTACAAGTATTTTCCATTTCTGTAAATATTTCAAAACCTTGCTTTAATGAAAAATGCCATTCTCTATTTCTATACAGTTGTACATCCAGGGAAAAAAGTACTGTTATCCTGCATTCTGGAATAAGGTAACTTCTTCGAGCTAATCATCCCTGAAATACTTGCAAACCAACTCCTTAATTGTGTTAATCATTTGTTTTTAGCAATGTAGTTGTACAAACAGCTCCTTTGCTGTATGACATTCAAACCACTGAGTCCTGATCCGCCCCCTCGAACCGCAGCTGACTTTTTTCAATTAACATCAACTGTTAGCAGCTAAGAGATGATGTTAACATCTGATGTTAACATTTGTTATCTTGTTAACACAATGCCTCGTGAACAGGTAGTGCAGGGCTGGAAATAAGACCAAACAAAACCATCCCGAGCACGGTTTGACAGTTGTTTTGCTCACATTTCTTTTTTTTTAGCCTGTTTAAGCACACACGCTTGATCACCAGGAATTCCCTCTGCAGCGATGATGTAAATCTGTGACTAAAAATGGACTCTGAGAACACGTGAAACACTTGTTTATATTTGCCGTGTTTTGGGGTGGTTCAGTCAGACAGCGCTGGGAATGGCTTTCTCCAAGACTGAGGTTGCAAAGTAAAGTCAGGACTGAAAAAAACCCCAGAGGTGTGTTTTTTAGTCACTGTCTTTTTCTTGTCTTTGGGGGTTTTTTTGTTTAATTCTCACAAGAATAGGGTTAAGCTACAAGAGAAGCTCTTCCATCTTAAATACCTTTTGGTGGAAAAAATACCACACGAAAAATGGTCAGACAAAAGTTCTTTTTCCCCCCTGCAGATTAAGATAATAAAACATGTTAAAATGATAGTCTTACTACAAGCATATGAAGAGGCAGGTATTTATTTCTTTTTTTTGCATCTTTTACAGGGACTTTGACAGTATTTTTCATTGCAATTGTGACATAAGGTTAAATAAGATAATGTTTTCATATCCTTTGACTTCAGCTCCCTCTTTTGGGGTTGGATATTATGTCATGTACTTCTGTGTTCTCTACAGCTGATAATTTTGAAATGAAGATTTATAATCTTTTTATCATTCCTGAAATGCCACACAGAGACTATTGAAATAGTTAATGTGAAAAGAAAAAATGAAGGTGGGTCATATTATGGGGCTGACTTTGACCTCCAAATGAAGCATCACATCAACTCTACCCTGGAATTTCCAGACCAACAAAAAGAGGAAAAAACACATATGTAATTTGGATGAAAAGATAATGGAATATGTCATCTTTAATGCTGTGTTAAGTAAAGTTTTGCTTAGGATTTTTTTTTTATGTGGTGTAACGATCTTTGGGTTTTTTGTGCAGATGTTTTGGTTGCCTTTTCTTTCTGCATCAGATCTTTACTCCACTTGATTTCTTCAGAGACAATAGGGGCAACATTGAAAATATGGTGTTTGAGTTTTTGCCTAAGCAATTGGCTTCTTTAGTTAACCTGGAACGTGGATCTGGAGAGTTCCCACCTGTTCAAGAGGTGATTAAAGTCTCTGCAGTGACTTGACCTTAACTAGTCTGTGTTTCCTTATAAAATAGGAAAGCATTTTCATTTATGGTCTAATTTTGTTTTAAGGGTTAATCTTTTTGGAATGCCTTGGTAAACTTATTAAAGGAGTTGCAATTCTACCAGCAATCCTTCTTTTCCTCAGCCACTGAAGGAAAAGGTAAACATCGATTTCAAGGATTCCCATGTTATTTTCTTCAGGGACAAGAGAAATGGCATTTTACAGCCATGGGAAAAGACTCCTTCCCTCTCAAACAGGGATGAAGGGATAAGGATCTCACACAGATGAAGGGATAAGGAGTTCAAATTCCAAGGGACTACAGAGGCAAACACTGTGCAGGCTGCTCCTATTTAAACACTGCAGTTAGATCCTTAAATCGTAAAAAGTAATTTTCAACTTTAATTCAGGAAATGGCAATGGCACAGTGTCTAAATACACCTTTTATTATCACTAGTCACTAATAATAAAGGTTAATGTTTGTCAGGGTTGGTATTTATTGCTTTAAAGCACGTTCTGCTTTGACCAATACTAAAGCAAATGAGGATCATCCTAACCAGCAGCTTTTAATTGTAGCTTAGCAGTATCTCAGAGGGGATACTTTCCATTCTAACCTTGCTGCTCACAGGTTACTCCATCAGAGCACCAGGCTGTTCCCTTGCATTTGCTCTTCTTTGAATCCCACCGTTCACAGATGTGCCCTAAGATGTGATCTCACTCCTGTCATCCTTAAAAGCATTTTTTTTTACTGAGTAATTGCAGGAATGCTGCAAGTGGAATATAAGAAAACAGTCTTTTTTAATAGCTGTGGTGATGCCACTGGCTTGCAAGATCTTTACATCTTGTGGGAGTCAACAGAAAATATTAGATGACTGTAGTTCCTAATGCCCATAGAGTAGATGGGATCTAAATACCCTTATTTTTTCCCTACTCAGTTCTTGGTTACAGTGCAGTTGCTTTTGTCTCTGTGACAAATAATGCTTTAGAAAAGATCTTCAGGTTTGCTAAAGGTTTTGTACTAGACCTGCACAGTCTTTAGTCTAAAGACAGAGTTTTGTTTGTCTCATGTAGTTTTTAAGCACAGCTGTTCAGAGACTCTCGATAAACTTCTAAAGGCTGGGTATGGTTTTCTATCCAAAAGGTCACAAAAAATCAAGGAGTCTCTTCTTAAGGATGTTCTGAAGGAATTTTAATGGCCTCTGAAGAAAATTAGCCTGAGTATGTCACGCTGGTTTTCTTCAAAGATTTCAGTTTTCCCCAGTGTTTCAAAGCCTGATCTGTCAGTGATTCCTCTCATGCACAGCCAGCTCCTCACCTTTTTCCCTTGAAGAACCAGGCCTGGCTTTGATCTCCTTTTTGAGTCCAAAACTCAGGTTTGCATTCCACTGGCCTTTCACTAAGGAGGGATTTCCAGATAACACTGGCTTTGGAAGAGCATCTGCACCTGTCCTGTGCCCACCTCCAGCTGAGGAAGGAAGCAGTGAATACTCAAGCACTCCGTGTGATCTTCTGTGCTACTTTTGAAGCTTCGTTTTATTTTTACCAAATCCAGACATTTGAGGTATAAAACAATTTTAATTGCTAAAATCTCTCTCTCTGTTTTATATCTGAACATGTGCTTATACAGGTATGCTGAAATAAATTTAGTACAGGAAAAAAACGTTCAGGGCTAAAAAAAAAATCTGGAGAACTCACTCACTGAGAAACCATATTTTTAAAGGCAAAGAAGCCTTCAAAATGCATCTGCTTTTCTAGATTCAAGCAGGTTAACAGTGTGGAATTTTTACCATACTGATTTACATTAAATTTGTGGAATAGGATGAGTGCTTAGAGCTCTCCTAAAATGGAAGGGTTAGGCCTGACCAACCGAGGATTTGTAGTCCCAGGAGAAAAGCCCTTAGAACTCCTGATGTCATATAATGTGCCAGGATGAATTTCTCATGGTGAAGAAGTCTTAGGAGGTTCTCTCTTCTGAGCTGCTGAAAGGCAATTTTCTGGCCTGGAAGATAACAGCACCTTTCTGGCTTGAAAATAAAGATGTAGGGAAAAAGAAAACAGTTGGGTTTAAATGACTTGTTAATGGGCAGGGGGAAGTTATCTGGAAACTGGAAAATGATAAGGTAAGGATGCCCCAATTCCCTGCCAGTTCACAAGACTTTGGAACACACCTTAATTTGACTGCTGAGTGCCTGACTCTCCCTCATATTCACACAACAGCTGAAGCACAGAAAATGAGATGCTCTGCTCTGCCAGTGGAGTAAGAAGTAATGCTGATATATTTTAGCAGTAGTTGGCAAATGCACTGGAAGTACTGAGCTTTACTGCAGACTCTCCTGTGGTTGTGGTTTTGGAAAGGTGGTAGCAATGCTTGTTTTTTGAATATATAATCACATTATTTAATCATTTAATCCAAATGTTTTTCTAGGGAAAATTACGGTCAGTTATCATGGAGGGAACACACTCTGTGCATTCAGCAACGAAACCTCAACGTGAAACCCAGAAATCTTGAATTGTTTTCTCAGTTTCTTGGTAGGAATGGAAGAATGCTGCATGTTTTTATGTTGCCTTGGGAAAAGAAGCTGGAACTACTTCATGGGCTCAGTTTACAGACTGGAAGATGCTGTAACTGGAAGGCAGGTGGAACATATGGGAATCAGGATGCTCTGTCAGCTGTAGTCAGGGGAAAACAGCAAGTTGCTGATGTTGGGTGAGTAACAGAAAATGATAATCTGACATGGGTAGAGTTTTTGTAGTAGAATAAAACAGTCACATAATTTCTTTAGTGTAGCATCTAAATTTAGTGTAGTGTCTATGAAACAAGGTAAAGCTATGATTTAAAAATCTCATTATGTTCTGGGGGTTTAAGGTAGAGTTCTCTTCAATACCAAGCAAAATTCCAACACATTCACACTTGAATGGGTTTTGAAAGTCCTGCTTCTAGTTCTGAGGAATTACCAGTATGATAGTTTCTCCCCCATGAAGCTGCTTATT